GCATAAATAAGCTAAGTAATACTCGGGAGCTAACAGGAAGGAGGATCACAGAAACCCCTATCCTACACCCTGTGCCACAGTGTGTTGGTTCAATAAGTTTTTGCATGGCTTAATGAAAAAAAGAAAGCTGCAAGCAAGCGGACACAATTTAGATACTGGTGTATAATTAACCTGGAGTGTCCTTCAAGTCCTTGATCACATGCAAACAAAGTTGGTTTTTCAGATTTACGATGAAAAATGATTTCATTTAATCAGTAAACAATTATATGCCCAGAGAACGCTGGCAGGAACAGAGACTCTGGTGTAACGGCCTACACTTCCTTTTTTTTGTACTTGGCCCCTGGACAAAAGCGTTTGTTCCATTTTTAGCTTCCTCCAAATCACTGAGCAGTTGAATAAGCCATTCAACTCAGCAACCACAGCAGTTTGATCTGAATTCTACAGATATGAGAACATTAGTCACCCTGATTATTTGGGTACATTTATAGTTGATGAACAATTATGAGCATCTTCATTTACATTTGGAGAGAATGGTGTATTTGCTGTCCAGCAGCTGATGCTGAATCATGCAGTGTGAAAAACATGTTTTTGTGTGTGGTGATTTTTTAAAAAAAAAACAGCATGTTGAAATCTGGCCCATGCCCAGATACACACAAACTATCTTAATTTAAAAAAACTGAACTAATACGAGTTCTGTAACTCGCAGACCAGTAGCAGCTTACGAAGAAGTATATAGAACATGAACCATTTCGAGTGTGGAGAGTTTTGCAACTTTGAAAATGCTTGTGTTTTTCCTTTCGTAATTCCTTCTCCACGTGAATGATACATTTGCGATGCAGAATAGTCTGCGTATATTTGCAACCTGGATTACTGTGGGAGACAATTAAAGATGCGTATAACGCAGTAAGATATTGTTCAATTCATGGTGCAAATAAAAAAATCCTAAACAAAATTTTCAACAAGACTGAGAGTCCAAATCATACATTGTAAATCTTTGCTGCACTTGGTTTTTCTGCCCTCATTAAATTTCGGTTAACTAAAAATCAACTTGTTTCCACAGAAGATTTATATGCAAGCAGGGAAAGGGTTAAACTATGATACATGTGTCCTTTAGATGAAAGTATGGAACAACAGCTAAAGTAACGCAATACACAAATGCTATTGCCAGGTTCTAACTTGGTTCGTTGCAAATAAAATGTCAGGAATTTTCCTCTGCGTTGGTAAAGAACCTACTGTTATTGTCCAAAATACCACAGAGGACAAAGCACAAGTTAATAAAAAAAAATGCATTACTTAAAAGGTTTTGTATGCAGATACCTCTGTAATAGATGTGTTTTTTTTTCTGGATAGAAAAAAATTGCGAAAGAATGTCCCCTGCCAGTGTTGTGATACAATAGACCATTGCCAACGTGAGGCTGATGCTGCCAAGCTGAGGGCAACAGCTGTTCCACACAATGACTATCACCAGTTTAAAATGTGAGTGGATTGCAATTACATCATTCTGAATGCTGCAGGAACAGTGTCACCACATAGCTTTGCAGGATTCTTCCTATTATCCCGCAGAGAGGCAGCATTCCCATTTATGGCTGCTAGGCTAATACCTGTAGTACACTGCAGCTGGATGGCGGGGACAGCTGAGCTAAGCGTGCATTCAAAGCTAGGTTGCATTTTAAATACAGATAAAACAAAACCTAAATGGTAAAAGTCTGAAGTAAAACCAGAAAATGATGGAAATATACAGAACATCAAAGCAGTATATGAAAGCGAAAGACCAGCTTGCTATGACCAGACAATGGAAGCCAGGCTTTTATTCCTAGGTTTTAAATATACTTTAATTTCTGTACGTTTAAGTAGAAAGGCTCCTGCAAATCTACAGGAAACATAGGCGAGGAGCAGAAAGAAGTATGCAATACATACAATTTTGATTAATGCAGAGTCCTTATCAATATAAAACCAAAGAGGTGGTAGTTAGGCAGCAGAAGTGTGTCCCGTTCTGGTAACTCAACTTTAGGAAGGTTGTCAAGGCCACAGAGAGTGTTCAGAGAAGATTTACTAGGATAAGATTAGGGATAAATGGTTTGTTCTATAATGATAATAAACACAGAGCACAAACTAAAGGAACTGGACCCATTTTCATTGGAACAGAACAACTGATTCAGGTATTTTGATTTATGAGGTGACTATAGACAGCGATCTATCGAAACCAATTAGCAAGAGAGCAAAGGGGGAGACTAAGAGGAAATTTTACAAGGAAAATTGGTAGGTTATGGAATGCTATGCTGGGTGTGGTAGTCAAGGTCATATTAACTTTCAAAAGGGAACTTAATAGATACCTAAAAAGGAATAATTTGCTGTGGTATGAGGAAATAGGCAAGTTAATTGGACTGAATGGATTAATCTTTCAAAGAACCATCACAGATACAATAGGCTGAATGACCTCTGTGGTTCTATTTTACCACAAACACCGCCTCAGGAGTGGCAATGGGAACCTGTTGCCCAGAGTAAAGAATGTATTATGTTTTTTTAAAATAAAGATACAGCGTTGCAAGGTTAATTTAAAAAAAACTCCCAAACTGAGACCTCACATATCAGGAGAGTTTAATAGACTTGAAAATAAGCAGAAGTATGTATAATATTCACAGCAGCACTGTAGAAAGATATGAATTTGCAGTTTACAAGGAAACAGAAACTGCATTTCATTTTCACAGAGATCCAGCAATGGGAATTTTCCTGATCTGCAGCACTTGTCTCACTTTTGTTTCACTTGAAAAGGGTTCAAAAAGCTCATTTCTTGCTGTGATGAATCTGCAGCAGAGAACATATTGTACTTGGACTACAGTTTGGCAATATTTGAAGGCAATCTTATTCCAAGGAGCCAGAAGAATGGTTGTTGGCAAATGGTTCAAAGCAAGCTTGTTTACTTTCTCCTTCCTTTAGGTCTCCTCTATTATCAAGCCCCATTGTCAGACAGACAAACGACAATACTCCCATTCCTGGTAACGTAGGCGGCAAGTCAAAAATATTCACCTGGGAGGAGGGGCTTAGTAAACCTGAGTCAAAGGGTCGGTCCTGTTTAAGACAGGTGAGCTGTTGGCTTGACTGACAGGTCTGTCAGTCAATCAGAGCTGAGGTCCTATTTAAGACAACAACAATAACAACAACAGACGGACTTTGTTTTGACGAAAGATTATCGACGTGAAACATTAATACAATACAAAATTACATTTGTACATGGCTTTTCACGTGGGGAGGACGTCAATTCACTTTCCTCTCTCCATAGATGCTGCCTGACCTGCCACATGCTCCCAGCGACTTCTGTTTTTATTACAAGACAGACTGGAATTGGGCACGCGCCACCAATGAGTTGGTAGCGAGGCAAGCGGGGGCACAGGGTTGCCGCTGGCTGGAGCAGCTCGGAGGACTGGCTGTGGTACTCCTCAGAGAATTTCCCCTTAGATTTCCCCGTTAAACTAGTGAGCTATAGATAACTTGTGGGGGAAGAGCCCTCTCTCGCATTAGCCACCGACTGCCTATGCCTGCTGTGCTTTCTGTAAGATTAATTTACTTTCTATATTTACGTTCTATTCAAATTTCGTATCATCACTCCCTCTGGGGAAAAAATGTGCTACTTTTCTGACAGCCCAGCTCAGACTAGGTACTTGTGCGCCGAAATCACAGGCAGGAATGTAAACTTCCATTGTTCTGTAATTTAACAGATGTTGCACAATAATTTAATGCATTCGCTACAGATCTTGCATTTTATTGGTAAAATTACCCAGTTATAGTGGAAAGAATGCATTTGTATATCAGGTCAAGTTAGGGTGACGTTATCGTTCTGGTGCCTATCCAGTAATAATAATCCCTGCAATTGATATAGTACCTTATCACATCTTCGAGACATCTCAAAGTGCTTCACAGAATATACTGTAAAGTGTAGTGACTATAATTTGTGGGCGGGTAGTAGTGCCTTTGGCAAGATGTGGAGGAAGGCGGAGAAATAAAAATTATTTCTTGTTCAGTCAGAAATGTGCAGAAATTGGGATTTTATGGTGACATAGTTGCAACTCAAATAAGCACAAATAAAATCCTTCATTGCTTCCCCCCCCCGAGGAAAGTGGATAATAATTTCCAGTGATGTTCACCCTTACCACTACTTGGAACTGAGCAGTATTCCCTTCTGGTTCCAAAAACTTCAGTTGTAATGCATTATAAATCCAAAAGAGATCACATGGCTTGACCAACTTATTTGTGTGAACTACTTTGTTGTGTATGAAAGGCATGAATAATCATCATGTGAGACCCCTGTGTCCCAGAAAACTCCTACAGTTTCCTTCAGAAGTAGCAAACACAATACAGACATGACTTCAGACTATTGTCTCTTTCTCAATTAAGCATCCTCTTGCTTCTGACTGGACAAAAGATCAAGGCATCATCTAGCAATTAGTAACACGAAACAGTTAAGGCCAATAAGTGGCATTGTGAATGGTTGGAAAGTCGCTCTATAAATAGTAACTTAAGTAAATCATCATGTGCAGAGTTTTGTGACACGGGCAGAGTGAGTAAAGTTCCAATGGTTGTGCAATAAACATCTAGATTGGGAATTGACAAAGAATTGTAAAATAAACTTAATTAAGCAATCCAAGTTTCTGCCCTCAACTCTCTTCCTCGTCTGAAGGCAGAAATCATCACCATGTAACACATCTCAGCACCACAGCAGAAATCATTGCTCTATTATAAACAGAGTGATCGAGAAACGAGACACTTTTATTCTCATAATCACCTTCAAAAGAAAACTTAAAATGCAGCTGATTATAATGATTGAAATATGACATATTGAAAAATTTAAAAACTAATGTTTCGATTGCAAAATTACTGCATATTCAGTACAATTTTATGTAACTGTACATGATGTGCACACTCTCCATGGCACCAAATATTTCCTTGCTTTAATATGGCATCCAAAACTGTGCACAATTCAAAAGGTAATAGTTTGTACTCACACAAGAATGCTGCATTTACTTTACAGCATGGACACTGATGGCAGCCCCAGTTTAGCAGCAGTAAAGAAGGCAGCACTGCTACTCCTGGAGTGTACAAGGCCACTCCAACAACAACCCAAGGTTCCTATACTTCTATTTTAAGGAGGTTAGTTAGGACGCGAGTACAAGTACAAGTTGTTCTATGCTGTGGGCAGCGATGCTTTTCCCCAGCTATTTTCTCACAAGTAACCAGTGATTAATATGGAGCAACTTGTTCTTGATTTTTGGCTCCAAAGTTGACAGTGTAATGTGGGAATATGTAACAAGGAATTATGATCCTTCAAAACACATTGTGAATACTGGAAATAAGTAAAATAAAAAACTGGAATAAGTTGCTAGTAATTGTTTTCGAACAGATTTTGTGGACAAATGCCATCGGCATGAATTAAGACCTCAGTATAGCCTGGATTACCATGACGGAAAAAAAGTTTTTTTAAAAAAAACACAAATCATGGCATCTTTGAATGCCAGCCCTTTACCAATTGGAAAGGTGCTCTCACTCCATCTTGTGCACAATTCTCACAGTGTTGACACATGATGCCTAAATTCAAATGGGAATAATAATAAAACCAGCCAAAATGTACATTTTTTAGCAAATGGAAACCAATGCAATTAGCGATCCTGGAATGCACAAATATGAATTTGTATGGGGTGGGTAAAAGAAAATCAATTACACATTAAATATCTATTAGCTGTTGAAAGCAACAAATAGTTTGTGGAAGACAAGTAACTGACACAAATTGAATCTTTGATAAATTATGATCTTATTGGGGACAAACACTTGAGTTTTAATGCTGCTTTCTTTGCACTCCCCATAAGAGGGCTATTGAAGATTTCATCCTGAATGTCAGTGTGACACGCTGAATCACGCTGAATTAACAGTTCTTAACGGTCCACTGAACTGTTGTTGTCCTTTGAACCCAGGTATTCCAGATAGCAAGTGGAATCAGGGAAACGGACATTCAAGAATGTAAAGAATGTGGCCTTTGAGCAGCTCATTGGAACTGTACGACCAAACACATGCTGGTTACATGGCACTATAGAAACAGTAGCTATTTACTTTTAGGCACGGTTAATTAAACGGTACATATGTGGATGTACAAACTTCATGCATTCCAACAGTATCAGGTCAATAGGAATGGACAATGGAAGTAAACAGCCAGTTTCATTGCCGCTGAGAGGGTATAACATAAGATTACTCGTGCTCTCAATCATCATCCAGTGACAGCTGCTAGAAAAGGCAGGTGATTTGTTTTGGTCAGCTGGGTGTCTGACACATGTGGAAACCCATCACCATGTTTTATAGAGTAAGCCAAACAAAACAAGTTTCATATATCTACACCATTGACACATGGAAATTATGGAGGCATCATTTACATAAGATCGTTTGTTCTTATAACTGATTGTGAATATCACAAATATACTAAACCATGTGTTCACTATACATATGTATATTATATATAATGTAGCATTTATAACATTTTTATATTTAGGCAAAGCATTCCTCTTCACTTAACATCTGTAAATGCTCAGGGCATTCTGGTGAGCTTCTTTGTCAAAGAAAGTCGAGCAATGAGTCAGTAATTCCTCCGGTCAGGGCAGTGACCAGGTCAGTTTTTGTGCTACTTACAAAGCTGCATTTGCCACAGTTAAAAAAGTGTCTAGATTATATTTTGTTTCCCTTTCATTTTTCTAATCGATGCTGCGTCTGCGAATGAGAGATTGCGGGCAGTATTTTTTTTAAAACACCTCTCAAAGTGGCATCAGGCATTAACACACCAGCACCCATGACGAGCAGGTTATGTAAATGCAATGACGCAGTTACTGTAGAAGGCCTTGAAGCAGAGGGAACCCTCCTACACTACATCACAACCACCCACACACAGCGACGTTGTCAGCCTACATCTCTGCTGTAGTTCTACTACCACACATTGCAGCAGCCACATTTTTTTTGCGTAGCCCAAGCGAAAAGGCTGTGAATCACACCAACACACACACACAATGAAATATCCAGCCTTTACACAGATAAAGGTTATGGTCTGGGATTTCTTTAGCAAACAGCAGATTCACATACACGTCAGATAGTGATGATGATGCACATGAATGAAGCCTGTTCTACCCTCACCATTAACAACCAGTGCTGCGCAGTGGCATTTTGTGGACCTGCTTTAAAAAAAATCATTCTTTAAATGTGTGAAGTTTTGAATCATGTCTGGATTTTTTTTCCCCCACTTAAAATTGAACAAAGAAAATGCCATTTGCAACGGATTCAATCACGAACCCCATCACATACAAACTTTTCACTAAGATGAGGTTACTGAATGCTGACTGAAACTCAGTGTGTATAGTGTTGGGTGGTACCAACAGTGGCGATTCCCGGTTACAATATATGACGTGTCTCAATTTATTACAAAGTCTTTCCAAAGCGACACTCAAAATAAATAATGTACTTTGAAAAGTTGCTCAAATCCGTGTTCTTGGAAAAACACTTTCAGAACAAAGGGAAGCAATAAAACTGGAAAAGAAAGCCAAAGAACTGCAACAAACTGATTCTGCTAATCGTAAAACTGTACCTCGGGATATGTCAACTACAAAACAGAAACAAGAGATTTTAAATGTTGCACATACATAACGCCTCATTGCTACTGCCTCCCAGAATAGACAGAATCCAGGCCAATTTGCCAGTTTCACCTGAACTACATTTTGTAGCTCATCACGAATGCAGGTTATCCAGAATTTACATTTCACGAACAGCGAGTGCTTTTGAACAGTTTTGTTTACAATTTGTTTTCAATGGTAAACAAAACTGTTCAAAAAAATAGAAGAGTTATTGGGTGGGGGTGCCAGCAGGAAGAAATCATTCAAGTTTCCTGCTCGTTTTGCTATCAAAAAGCACTTTGAGACGTCCTCCCAACATGAAAAATGGGTTGTAAATGTAAATTACATTGTTAAAAGCATGCAAAGAAATGACTGTTCTACTGAGAGCAATACTTAAAATAAATAAACTAGTGAATTCTATTTACACAATACTATGGCTATTTACTTTTGATCAGATTTGCAAAATAGATTGCTTTTGAAAACTCTGTAATTTCCCCATTAAGGTTAATACAGAAAAAATATACACCCACGTGCTGTGTACATGCTCAAACTAATACGTTCACACGAAGATTCCAAAACACATAGGCTCGCCTCCACTTTCACCGCCCATAGGGTAATCCCCACCACAAGATGTCGTCACCACGTTCCAACCACGCAGGTTTTAACTATTCCACTGCTCATCAAACCTGCGAAAAAGTATTTGGTCACAAAGCAAACACTGGAGAATTCCGTGCGCTGTTTCATCTTAAGTTTCCTCCCCTCACCCAACCCAGGCACCCAAGATAAGGAGGACTATTTATGAGCATGAAACCAATCGTCCTTTCTAAAGGGGGCTTGGGGAGAAAATAGGGGGAATAAAGTCTTTAAACATACAAAGTTTTCGGTCACTTTATTTTTATGGGGGTATTCAAGCAAGTTCCCCTTCACATTTGCATTGTTATCTATTCTTAGTCTGCCCGCCGTGGTTGCAGTCACTGAAAATGCTTGTTCTCAGGATAATAATCCTTACATTTGATCGAGCGCCATCATATCATCAAAGTGCTTCACAGGACTTTTACTGTTAGGTGTAACGCTTGTATCTGTGGGTGAATGCAGTAGCCGATTTGTATACAACAATGTCCCACAAACAGCCATGAAGTGAATGACCATTTTTATCTGAAGGATGCCACCGGCGTTCCTTATAACAATTGATGGAAAGTGCCAGAGACAACGCATAATTGTCCTTGCCTCCTCTACCTGAAGATGTTAGAATATTTGGGGCCTCCAGAGACTCAGATCGGAATGGAACTCAATCCTTGGCCTAAAATCAGCAGCAAAGTGGAGTCCAATGTCTATTAATTATCAGTGCACCAACTTGTTAATTTAAGCATACAATAAGACAGTCAATGAGGCTTCAGGATCATTCAGCGATTTATATTTTTTTCCACAAATTGTCAATTCAGAGGGGACATTCCACTGTTATGAAATGTGTCATGTTCCTGCAGGTTGCATGGCACAGATTAAATATATGTGCTTTTCATACATGTGGTGTTTTATTTTCAATAAAGGATTATAATGTTGGGGATACTGAAACAGTAACGGATGTCTCAGCATATCTGATAAGCAGCACTTCCTGAAGTTGCTATTAAAAAGCTACTTTTGCATAGCAGTTTGCAAAGTACATAAGGTTACTGTACATTTGATTCCAAAATAGTAACCATACTAAGTAACAGCGCATTGCGAATACAAATAATCATCGTGGCTCTATTGTATTCCTTGGATTTTTGTGCGAATGTTGTGCTCAAGGTGATAAATGTTAAGTATGGCTGAAAGAATATTTTTAAAATAATATTTGTGTCCAAGTGACCAAGACCCCAAGTGCTCCCTAGTCAACTCTGGTTACATACTAACTTTAATCATCAGAACTCTACACCAAACAAACAAACAATTTCCCTTAACTCCATCTCTGGAGAATAATTTCTTGCTCCTCCCTTATATTTATATTTAATTATATTTTTATGGCAATTGGCTGCCACGTTTCACCCACAAATATACAATCAATTCACTTTATGGTATATTCTGTTAAGCACTTTGAGAACGTCTGGAAGACCTGAAAAGCGCTATAGCAAATGCAAGGATTATTATTATTATTATGTTCCAATGTGACATTACTGCATTCAACACCAGTTGGCAAATGTCAGCTGAGAGGGTAACTGCATGCAAATGATAATAATATAAAAAAAGCACTCAGTGCGTTAGCTGAGCGAGAGGAAAATTATCCAAAGTATTAAGTTATTTGCTAGTCATCAATAACCAGCAAACCCTGTGTGGGGTGTGTGTGGGGGGGGGGGAAGGGGGGAGGACTGTGTGTGGGAAGGTGAGTGTGTGTGTGGGGTGTGTGTGTGGGTAGGGTGGTGAGTGTGCGTGTGAGGTTGGGTGGGGATGAGTGTCTGTCTGTCTCATGTGCACTTTGGAGAGAGAAAAAAAAACCATTG